CTTAGTCCTCTCCACATTGTCCTTCCCCTTTTTATCCGCCACCTGAAAAAAGAAGGGGAAAAAAGGCCTTGCAAGTCTGATGGGGGGTTCCAACTGCAACCAAAAAGGGACAAAGCCCATTCCCAAATTAAACTCGCAAAATGGCAAGACACCAAAAAGGGACAAAGCCCGCTCGCAAAATGACAAAGCCCATTTTGTTGCCTGAACGAAACTCTCCATTTCTCCTAGTTCTTCAAATTCTTTTCTTATTTTTACAGTTTAAAATAGTATTAGGTAATAGGTATCTTCGCATTTGGGTCAAATTCTTCGTCTGCAGTGCAGGTGATGGAGACTGACTGATTGGTTGGATTTCAGACATATGAACATGGGATTAGAGAGAGAGAGAGGAAAACAGGTACAAAGGAAGAGAGTAGAAGGGAGGAAACACGAAACTGTATGTGGGTTGGGAGGATTGTTTGAATGACTCCAATTTTGTTCCCTGTAAAAGAACTACCAGGTCTGTAACGCCTGATTAAGCGTCTGAATACTAATCTCCTTTTTTTCCTTCACATCTCTAACACCCCAACTCCCTATCTGAGGCTTTAGAAGCATCCATATCAAACACTGTCTCTTTCACTTCAGAATCCTCAAAAGGTTTTTTCAGTTCAGCAGGTAACTCACTGTCTAGTCTCAGCCAATCCAAACCACTTAAAGTCTCGAAGGGGTGAGGAGCCAAACAAATTCTTAAAATGGTCAACTAAACATTTAGCTATCAGATCCTGATCAAGAATCTCTTTACCATTCCTGATGCTAAAAACTGACAGCAGGGAATTACAAAAGTTACAATAGTACAAACAACATATAACTGACTAAAGAGAAAGTGCAAATACAATCGAACACTATTGGTTTGGTTTTTGCAGCTTTGGGCCTCTGCACCCCACAGCAAATCAAGCCTGCAAAACCCTTCTCTTGCAAGTGAATCAGCCAAGGGATTAGCTATTGCGTGAACTCACCGAGAATGAGCCATTCAAGTGAGCAGCCAAGGTTCAAAATATCAATGATACAGGGCGATACGCCGGTAGGGCATATCAGCCTGTATCGGTACTGTTTTTTCTACCCCCTGAAACACCCCCTGTAGGGGCGTATCAGGAAGGCTCCAATACAACATCAGCCATAATGTGACGAAATTTTGATCCTTGTGAGCAGCTAAGCTTTTAGCCTCCCTTAAGAGGAGTCTAAGAATCAATGGTCCATCTACTGGCAAGGACACCCAATCAATCACTATACACCAGTCATCTTCAATTACAAGACCAGCCTAGCTATAAGAACACTACTTTTAGGTTTTAAAATTGGCAAAGTCCCAGAATCTCAGCCCTTAAGGAGTTGCTATCCCCTCCTGGACCCCAAAAGCTTAAAGAGAATGGATCCAAACTAATATCTAAACACCCTACCAATCCTTGATAGGCCAGGGTTACCTGAAGCATCCATCAAAGTTGAACTTGATAACCGCACTGTTAGGGGCCATACAAACATATTCAATTTGTCTTCTTAGTCAATGCAAAACCAGCAACCACTTGCTAGCCCCTTAGTATAGAATCCATAAAGACACCCTTGAATTCTTTCCCAGTAGAGAACCAATGGGCATTTATGAAGGTGCCATTTATGTTAGTGTACATTTGCACACCCATCACTAATGTATATGCATGTCTGTATCTATCTATCTATCTATATAAAATAAAAGTGGGAGTTTGCATCCTTTTTGATCAATTCCCTCCCTCCAATTTGTTGAACTGAATTTTTGAAGATTCATGGTATGTTTCTGTGCATTTGCACATTGCATGAACTTCCAACTGATGTGCTAACAGCTGCATAAATTAACTCGTAATTCATTAATCTTCAAAACATGCTATAAAACCACTTATTAAGGGGAAAAAGCAATAGAATATATTTACAATCACAAGAGGGTGGGTGAGGTGGTAAAGGCCTTACAGAACGCAAGTCCCAGCCTGGGGATTTTCCATATACTGAAGCTTTGCGTATCCTCTCTTTCTTTACCACCCAAAGTTCACCAGCTAAGGCATCAGTTGCCTTAGGTACACCACCATTTCTTACCTGTTTGGATCAAGCAATAAATATTCCTTCGGATATGAAATTCCACAGGCATTTATTTGGTATATCACAAAATATAAATTCCCCAGCCTATGCTTACCTTGGGTTGTGCATCAGATGATGCTTGGTGCACCCCTTTTAAAGGAAGTCCAGGAGGTGTCTCACCCTTTGCTGCAGCAGCCTACATGAAAGAAAATCTGGAAATTTTATACCAGATTCATGTTTGGAATCATCAGAATCAAAGGTTAAACAACACAGACTGAAGAGATACAATGTAGGCAGAGTGGCTAGAAAAAGTATTAGTAAACCATAATTTGTAATATATACTTTTTGAGAAAAGATAACTGATTTCATTAATCAAGGGAGGGATGTACATGAGGGGATGTACAAGGCCTTTCAGCAAAAACAAAAACAAAAAGACAAAGCCCACTAATAATTTGGCAATGGGAGCACTCTGGGAGACAGAGTGCTGTAATTTCTCAAAAAAGAAAGTGACTACCACTCCTTCGCCTTTGTCCTCTCCTCACTTCTCTGCCTCGGGTAAATCCCTCAACTCTGTCAATACAGTTTTGGATACTAATGAACGCTTTGTCTCTTGTTCCAGATTCTCTTCCCAACCAAGAGTCGGAAGCCCTTGGTCTGAAAGCCACAATGTGTCTACAAGGGGGGGGGGGGGAAGTGGGTGAGGAAACTTGCAGAGAAACAATAATATGGGAAATCTTAGAAAGCCTTTTGGGTGAAGTGGAAAGGAAGGAATTGCAGAGAGGGAGCCTGAAGGGGACAGAAAGGGCTGTAGTTGGAGGTAATGTGAGAAGGAACAAGAAGTTTCCTAGGAGTGAGGAGAGTGCATCTTTAGAAAATGAGGAAACTAATGGGGAAGAGTCAGTTGCAGAGTTTGTGAAAAAGTTGGGGTGCAAGCTGAAGAACCCGAATGATCTAAAAGCCTACATGCAAAAA